GTGTCTTAATTGGTGTTTTCCTCATGACACATGATGCAGAGTATTTTTCAGATGCTTATTGGTCATCTGTTTGTTCCCTTCAGTGAGGTTGCTTAGGTCTTTGGCCCATGTTTTTAATTAGTCTATTGTATTGTGTTTTAAGAGTTCTTGGTGCGTTTGGGGAAAATGTTCTTTATCAGATACATATTTGCAAACACTGTCTCCAGTCTGTGGCATGTCTTTTCATTGTTTTGATGGAGCATAAAATGTTGGATTTAATGAAGTTAAGTTTATAAATTGCTTCATGTATCATGGATTTTATGTCACATGTAAAAAGTTATTACCAAATCCAAGATCATCTAACTTTTCTCCCATCCTGTCATCTGGAGGTTTGTGACCTACAAAGCAGATCTGATCTACTTTGACCCAATTTTTGTGAAGGATGAAAAGTCTGAATAGATTTTTTTCAGTATATGGATGCCTAGTAGTTTTTATTTAATCTAGTACATCCCCAAATTGATTTGTATTTTCTCCCCCAAATAGCATGGTTGAATTTCTAAATACAGCTTCTAGTAGAAACCCCTAGGTTTTCTCTATCCCCTAATAGGCCGCTACACAGGGGTACATGCTTGAGGAGGTCCAGAAGACCAAAACAATTTGGGGATGAATGGGTGAAAGAGAAAAGAGAAAATACAAGAAAAGTTACTTAGAGAGTTTAGAGGTGGAATGTAATTGGGAGAACATTCAGGCGAGTCTCCATAGATAAATAAATAGTTGGGCCAACATATTACAACCAGTTAGGCTCCTTTCTAACCTCTCCTTGAATTAAAATAGGCAAAACAAAGCTTGGTAAACTCTGCCTAGCACTGACAACTGACTTCCAACAAAGGCTCTGATCTGTCCCATAACTCTTCAAAGTAGATGTTTGAAAGAAGCATCACTATATCCTAGGAATACAGAGGAACTGGTTAGAAATTATTACTGATTTTTCTAATTTCCTTCCTAAAGGTTTCTGTTTCTTTTATCAAATTCAACAAAACTTTGACTAAAGTCAAAATAATTCCCAAAAATAGAACTACCATATGATTCAACAATCTCACTATTGGGTATATATGAAATCTTTATATCAGAAAGATAACTGCACTCTTCACAATAGCCAAGATACAGAAACAGATGAATGCATAAGAAAAATGTGTATATATACCACAAACTACATTCAACCATAAAAATGATAAAATCCTGTCATCTATAGCAATGTAGAGAAAGTAGAGCTGATTGTGTTAAGTAAAATAAGACACAGAAAGATAACTAGCATACGTTCTCACTCACTTGCAAAATCTAAAAGGGTGATGTCAAGGAGGGCACAGTGGTTTCCACAGGCTGGAAAGGAAAGCAGAAAGAGGGATGGAAAACAAGTTGACAAGGAGCACAGAAACACAGATACGGAAAATTTGTTTCTGGTTTTCTATAGCACAGTAATTATTAGTTATAGCAATCTGTGATATATTTCAAAATATCTACAAGAGTATAGAAGTTTCCAATGCATACAAATGACGGGTATTTGAGGAGACGAAGTACTTTGTACCCTGATTTGATCACAATGTATACATGTAATCACATTATCATATTGTACCCACGAAGTATATACAAATACTGTATATTATTAAAAAACAATTTTATATTATTCCACAATGATATATGTGCACTCATGTTTATAGAAGCACAGTTTTTAATAGCTAAATCTTGAAAACAACCAAGTTGTTCATGAACTGCAGAATGGATAAAAATGGTATGGTATTTTTATACAATGGAATATTATTCAGCTGTAAAAAGGGATGATCTTGAGTTTGCTATAGTTAAATGGAGGCAACTTGAGAGTATACTCGCAAGTGAAATAAATCAGACTGACAATTGTAAACACTGTATTGTCTCTCTTGTGTAAAAATAAATGATAATAGTAATAAACTGAAAGAGAAATAAGATCCAAAATGTACAGTAGATATTGTAATAATGAAAGGAACAGAAAGTGCTTGAAAGGAAAGAACAACTTATAGGTATACACATATAACTGTATGTATGTTTAAGTGTGCAAGTTAAATAACTGTACTAGTAATTCTCATTAATTCATCAAAAAAATGATTTGTGTTGTCTTACTTGGTTTTTCATTTTTTATGCTTTGATTTTGTAACTTTAGCAACTACTTCTAAGATAAAAATGTGTAATATATTAACTAGTATTGATTTTTCACTGTTTTTTTGAAATTCTGTATTATTTCTACCCTTTTTCCTGTTTTATTTTTTAAAAATAAAAACAATTTTACAATTAAGTAAAATTGCATTTTAACCTAAATAAACAGATTCCTGATGAACTAGAAAGTACTACAGCAACTTAATAATGGAGAGAGAAGAAAGGGAAGAGAAGGTTCACAGGGCCCTGCAAAGCACAGCAAGTATCTATGCCTTATTTTATCTGATGGCCAAACCCATCACTGCGGCTGAACCAGGACAAAAGCATGGAAGGATTTAAATTATTTTATCTTAAATTTATCTTAAATTATTTTATCTCCTGAGTGTGCACTTTGTAAGTGAAATACAGTGGAACAGTGGAGCATGCGTAGGAACAGATATGTACAAGTGTTGGCTGACACTTACCCCGTTAGCATAAGCTCTATGCTTGTCTAACGCGCGTCTGTCACTTTTGGTCTCACTGAAATCGAACAGTGAGTCTACCATGACTCTGTGCTCATGTTCCACATTAACGCGTCGATGACTGAGGACTGGAGTTCATGTTTTCCCTTCAGCCAGGATTGCTTGGAGCACTAAAAGAAGGTAAGTATGTTCTAGGAAACAAACATCCAAGGAACCACATCATGTTACTTCCAGTGCCACTGGTGCCACATATTGACGACTTTGGAGAAATGGGAAGGATAAAACAAGTCATGGTTCCTCCCATGGTTATCAGTTAGCTGAAACAGTTTTGGAAAAATATGCAGCACATAAAGAAGTAAAATAGAAGGTGAGTTTTATATAGTTTTTTCATATGAGTTTGTTAACAAAATGCATAATGTATGCAACAAACATGAAGTGCCACTGGCTCCATGACAGAATTACTGCATTTGTAATTACATCATGTGTGAACTTTCTTTGAATGAACAGGGTAAAAGATGCACTGCCATTCATTTTCCTCAAAATACTCCCCCTCACTTTGAACACACTCGACCCATCATTCTTGCCACTTTTTGAAAGCAATTCTGGCGTTCTCTTGTGTCTACAATATGTGATCAAAAGTACACTGAATGTTACTGCTCAGGGCCATCTAAGAGAAGGGTGACATCATGAAAACATTACCACGTGCCCTCATCTACCTTATTCACTGGTCCTGGTACTGTGCAGCTAGAAGCCAAATGACCATAAAAAGCAAATGTTTTGAATTGATTCAGGACATCTAGATAGTCGTAACAGCACAACTGAAGACACTCATGAATGAAGACTCTCAGAACCACTTCAGAAAATGACAGCAATGATGCAATACATCTGTTCAAAATCAGGAGTGTTTTGAAAAGAACTAGTGGTCATATGTCTTTCCCATTAAAATTTTTTTAAATTTTAAACATTCACTGTATTTTTCCCTCACACCACATACATTGTAAATACATGTCAATATGAAGACAAATGGTGAATATCAGCATAATATTTAAATTACTAATTTTGTGAACTTATAACCATTGAAACTTTATGCTTTAACAGTAATAAAATGTTTTCAGAAGAAAAACATTTATTAAAGTAATAAGAACTACGGGAGTAATAAAACCCAAAATATGTAAATGTTATTGTAAAAAAGAGAAGAATAGAAAGTGCTCTAAAGGATACAACTGCAAGTGTGTTTAGGTGTGTAAGATAGATCACCATATCACTAAGTATTTATTGGATCACTGAACACAACTGTTTGCAGTCTCACTGTTTGAATATCCACTTTGTATGCTTTAATTTTGTAACTTGAACAACTATTTCTAAGATGACAATATGTAATCTATTAACTAGTGATTTCTTACTGTTTATTTTTTTTGAAATTCTGTATTACTTGTACACTTTTACTGTTTTGTTTTTTTTCTTTAAATAAAATTTTTTTAAAAATAAAAACATTTATTAACCTGTTTTCCTTTTTACCTTCTTACATTCTTTTTGTGCTACTGAGGCCTGAACTCAGAGCCTCACCCATGCTAGTTAAGTGCTCTACCACTAGGCTCCATTCCCAGCCCTTGTCCTGCTGGGAATGGACCACAGAACCTAGCACTTTCATTTTGCTCTGTGCACTACAAATTATGTAGCTAGCCCTGAAAATGAACCAATACTCTCATCTATATATGAAAAAAGAGACTAAGTGAAATTAAATAGCTTTCTCAAGATTATGGAATTAGCAAGAGGAAGACACAAGATTCAAACCGAAATCAGACTCCAAAGATCCTGCTCCTCTACCATCCAAAATTGCATTCAAATTACAGGTAGGCAAAGGCCCAACAGATGCTACAAGCTTGGGACTGGGCTTGTTATTTCAACTGCTGTCTACATAGAACTGTTTGAAGTAAAGATTTGGATTAAGGCCTATGCTATATACCACAAAGTGGATATAAAGTTAAGAAGGCTGTTTTAAGAAAGTAACTCTATCACTAATCTGTGATCTGGTTTGTCAGGTCCATGGACTTGATATCCTCAATTTAGATAAAAGTCCATCATGCCCCATAAGACTCTCAATGCTCTATCAAGCCCTCTTTTTTCTAAATCCTACATATTTCTATGTTTCCTATACTGAGTCACATAAAATTATTTATTTAGATTTTATACTAAGTCATATTTACCCTCCAGATGGCCCAAGGAATTATGCTAACGTGACTGCAATCCCACTTTTTCTAATGACTTTTTCCCAGTTCCTCTTTTAAAGCACTGTGTTGTACATAGCACCAAGGTTCCACCTTCTGACTTTGACATTTTTCTAGATTCACAACAATAGTGTCTAGGGCCCTGTCTCCCATCTCTCCTAGTTACATTTGCAAAATCCAATTCAGAAATCATGTATAATAACAGTTAAAGGAACTTCATTGTTTTTTATGGGGGAATTGTTTTACATCATTTTGATTTTGAAACATGATTTCACCATGTCTCAGGCTGGCCTTGAACTCACTTTGTAGCCCAGGCTGGCCTCAAACTCACAGCAATCTTCTGCCTCGTCCTCCTAAATGCAGGATTACAGGTATGTACCATCACATCCAACTATAGGAACATCTTTCTTTTTTTTTTTTTTTTCTACCTATTAATGGTCAATGAGAAAGTTATCTTTACCAGACCTTCAGGAAGAAATGCGTCTCAAAAACCAGAAAATACAATTAGGATAAAGATTTTTTTTTTTATCTTCTGGAAAGAGAATTCAGCACACACGCACACACACATACCTTATTCGCTTATTCTCTCTAGAATTATAGAATTGCTGCCATAGCTAGTAATGGTAAGTATTTTTGCCAAAAATTTTTATGAGAACAACTCTTCCTTTGAGATTTTTGGACTTGTATATATTTTATAGATATTTCCAGGCATAAATACAAATACTACTGTCAAGAAATTTTCCTCTAAGAATGGTAGAACAGAGATGTTATGGACAGAAAAACAATGAGTTCTTCAAGGATTATAAATATTTCTCAGAGTGTAAAAATAACGTAACATATAAATATTCTTATGTGAACAACTTGAGAAGAGATGCATAAAAATAAACTGTATTCATGGGTTTAAAAATTATACTAGATGAAGTCCTGAAACTACTCCTTTTGATTTTTGAATCATGTATTCTCACTGCTAATCAAAGAAAGAATAACAGGAAAAATGGATGGCACAGGGACATCCACTCAGGACTTACAGACCAAACCAAAACGTATTATATCATCACAATACATTTCTAAATAAGAAGAGAAATTTTAATTGTCCTTGTAAAAATTGTTCATCTGGTCTCCACAGCTCAAGAGCCAGGAAAAAAAAACTCACATAAAAAAAATAGTAAACTTGATGGCTAGTTTCAGGTGTTAACCTGGCTGGAGTTTCCCAGGGAACTCGTAAGGCATTATTTTGAGTATGTCAGAATATGCAGAAATAAGAGACATTGCTCTTTCTGTCTTGTTCCATCCTGGATTGCTGGCTACAAATGATGCCAGTCTCTGTGTCAGAAGGATATCAAGCAGCCAATTGAGGGGCCCAAGTGAGAAGAAACAAGGGCCTATCATTATCAAGGACCCACTTGGCAGCAGAGAACAAACTTTTTGGAAGCAAATTCTGCAGCCTCTCTCCAACAGTTCGATGACTGCAATCTAGACTTGCATCTTCATGACAACCTCATGTGAGACACAAAACTAGAGGCACTCAAGTGCACTGCTCACAAATTCCTAACCACAGTAACTTTTAAGTTAACAACAAATGACTGAGTTTGAAGTGACAGCTTGGAAGTAACCTGTTACGGGGAAATAAGTAGCTAATAACTGGCTTCGGCCTGATGGGTAGTGCCTTCTGCACAGACATCTACATTTTGGTGAGGATAGCAGGAACACATCTTGTGCTTTCCAAGTTAATAAAGTTAATTTTATTTTTTATTACATCGCAGTCTTGTCATCGCAGACTACTGTCCCACCATGGCTGTCCCCTGGCTGTTTCACATCCACTCCGCCCCTTATGCAAGTCTGATGAGATAAAAACATAACTTAAAAATGGCTTCATTTGGAGAGTAGCACAAATATGCACAGGTTGTCCTCACCCGTAAGTCAGTGTAAAACAGTCAGTTTCCGCAGGCTCTCTTAGACCAGAGCTGGCTCATACCGTGAGTTTGTTGACAGCTCATTGTCCTGGATGGGATACATCAAGTAACCTGAAAACACAGACAGACAGTGTTGCTCTCCAATGACAAAAGAAATAATAAACCACAGTCTCTCAAAAGTCATTTTCATTGGTTAAGGGCTTTCCCTCACATTCTTTCATGCCACATTATCTTCTGAATGCTTCCATGGGTCTTTGGTTTATTTGTTACCCGCTACCTACCTCTTCATTAACATTGCAGGGTTAGAGTATCTGCTCCCAAAAAAATGACTGGATTCATCTTAGAGATGACAAAATTTCTTTTGCTAGAAAAAATCACATGAATCTTGCTGATGATTTTGCAAGATTCTACTATAACACTGTACTAAGGAGAGAAGAAATACTAACAAAAAATTTTAGAAAATCATATATCAAAATATTGTCTCCTACAAACACTCTTAGCATGTTTAGGAAGCATTTTAAATTTATAGAATCTAAGCTACAACTCCAGATACTACTGAATAAAAAATAAGGGAAATACACTGGATTGTATAGATATTTTGCCACAGAATTTCCAAGATTATCACCAAACTAGAGTGAGGAATGTACACAGGGTCAAAATAAAACATCATAAATATTTTCTTTTGTACATAAACAAAACCTCAACTTTTAAAGCAAAAATGAGGTACTCATTCATACACACACAAACTCCCAAGGTGGGGAAAAAACTGTCTAATAGAAAAAAGAAACACTTTGGAAGGACTGAGAATTCTGGAAGAAAGTGATTCCCATCCAGAAAGGCCAGGTTTCCATAGTATCTAACATCACATCCTTACACAAATTTCCACTGAGCATAGTCCAGGCATTCCACCCTACTGGAGAGAATTCTGTGATCTCCTCTGTGAAGATCAACAAATTCTTCATCAATAATTTGCCAGTATTTCCTTAAGTATAAATTGCTAAAGCCACAATGTTCATAGCTTTGACTGATCACTTTTTGAAAATGAAGTTTTGTGCTTTGCTCTAATGAAAATGCTGATATATGATGGAAGATATTCCTGTATGTATGGCTACCATTCTTTGACTCTTCACAATCCAAGGCTCTTTGATTTTTGCCCCAGAAAGGTGATTAGATACAGTTTTAGAGGGAGCTAGACCAGGTTTCTGTAATTCTCTAACATCACATCTCTATACAAATTTTGTTAAGCAGAGTCCAAGAATTCCTAGCTCTCTAAGGAGAAACCAATGGCCACATCACTGAATGTCAACAGTTCCATTTTTCTAGCTTCCAGGGTGTTCCGTATCCTTCCTAGATATCTATAAGCATCTGAAGATTAATGACAGGGCATTTTCAGAAGGTGAGCTGGCTCTAAACTAGGATACTTTGATTCTCCTCCCTGTGATATTTCACCCCCAGAGACTAGTGTGAGTGCATTCTCATGGAGACTGCAGCATTCATTTTCAGCTCCCAGCTTTCCCACATTCTCCCCATGCATCTCCCACCAATGCACATCACAGAGAAGGGGCTATGGCACACCACATGGGCCTCCAGAGGAAGACCATGAGCTTGGCCACCCACAGGTGATTGTCTCTAGAGCAATAATGTTCACCAGATATCAAACTCACAATGGCATTACTCTTAACCCAAGTAGTAGTGTATTAATTTACAATGGGGAAATTATGGGAAGTGGACCAGACATTGCTCAGAATGTTAAATATATTCAAGAAGCCAAGTTAAAATTCAATGACTATTTTATGAAGGTAGAATCCGAAGAAAGATCATTGGATATTCTCACAGAATATGTCCACAGAACTGTGGAGCAAAAATCCATCTCCTTTGTAGGAATTTCTGTCTAAAGAACTATTCAAGAAAATCAGAGCATCCTCTTCCTAAACCATCTTACACATACTGACAAACTCTTAGCAGTCCAACTCGCCTGTTCTTATAATCATGATGTCAATAAATGTTTCAGTTATTATAATTTTATCTCCAGGCAAAGATTATAACTAGTTTTCAACTTATTTTACAATCTCATCATGAGCTATTAGGTCAAACTCTCATATTCCAGTTCTTAGCCAAATTGTATATTAAGAGTCTCACAGAGAATTGATGCCCATGTATTTATGCTCATCTCTTCAATTCCAAACAAGAACATCCTCTTGATGACAGAGAATTCCAAAAATATAAGCTCTCAGAACACTTTAACACTCTCCTCTCCATAGACTCCCTGTTAATCGCTGATGTCTTGGTCACTGTCCCATCACTGGACACAATACCCAATGCCCACAACTTAAAGGAGGCCCGATTTATTCTGGCTCAAGGTTTAAGACCATAGTTGGTTGGTTCCAAGGCAGAGGGAAGGAAAAGCTGCTCAACCCATTAACAGCCAGGAAGCAGAGAGAGAAGGGAGGTGCTGAGAACAAGAATACATCCTTCCAGGTCCACCCCAGGAACCCCCTCCAACCAAGGCCCCCAACCTCCAACACCTGAGGCTTTGGGGAAATATTTCAGATGTAAACTATAGCAACTGGCAAGTTTATCGAGTCTAAACAATACTATCTGAAAGTCATCCTTGCGAGAGAAAATAAGGCCTCAGCGTGGTGGTGCACACTTGTAACACCACGACTCAAGAGGATGAGACAAGAGGATCACTATGAGTTCCAAGACACCCAGGGCTTCACAGTGAGTTTAAGGCCAGCCTGAACTACAATTACAAGGCCCTACCTCAAAAACTCCAAAAGAGAGACAAAGGATGTGATGCTTTCTAGCTACTGACATATCTTGAATCAATCATAAATTGGTAAAGCCTGAAAGGTCAGTAGTTTCCAGAGGTCTTTAACCAATAACAACAAAACTAGAGCAGTTCTTCGGTGATTCTAAGCAACATTGGAATTTATCCGAAGTTTTCAGGGTCACTGTTGATAGACACTGTCCCTAAAACATCACTTCACCATCAGAAACACCTGCTGATCTGCCCCAATGACACGAGTTATTGTGCCAGCTGTGCTGGGGCACCACTGGAATCCACTTGCAAACAAAGTCATCAATTTTTCTATCCTTCTAAATGCTTCTCCGCACACTGATATAAAACCACATTTGAACAGACTCAATCAGGAAAGTTGGCATGGCTTTGCTTTTCACTTCTTTTCTCCTCCTCCTCCAAATTCTTAGCTCAGCGGCTTTTTTCTCCAGAGAACTAATTCACTTAATGTTGGTAATCTGTTTAAAGTGTAATCCTTCCCCATGGATTCAGATTTTTGCCAGGTAAAATGCCTGTCTAGACATATTTCAGGCTTCAGGGCCCTCTCATACAGTCATGAATTTTAAACTTTAGTACATATAAGAATTAACAGCTTATTTAAAATGCTATTCCCTAGTCTCCTACAGATTTTCAATCTATAAATCTAAGATAGGCCCCATAAACTTGCATTTGTAAACAAATACATTGTGTTACTGATGGAAGCAATCCAAACACCACTCTGAGGAAGTGTTATAAAAGGAGGTAACTTGCACCTAAAGTTCACGCTCTCAGAAACTATGAGCACGTGCAGCTCCCTTCTAGCTTTAGTCCCTTACAACTACACCTGTAATTATAATTATTTCATTTCCTTGCCATTCGCAATACCCTGCCGCTCACCCTGCAAACCCGCACACCAAATGATTCATCTCAACAGACAATATAAATTGCACCTTGGCTCAATTGGCCTTCATTTTAAAGTCAGTCTTCTGATTTCAGGTTCTGAGAGTTGTTGTAGTGACATATCTGATCTATATGCTATGATTACTGGCTTGAGGCTCTTTCCAATTCTGTTCTTTCAGCCTTGTCTGCCCACCAATATTTCCAAACTTGAAAGGCTGACTATCTCCAGTGACCACAGAGCCTCACCCGCTGGCCATTCTGCTGACCCACAGCTGTGATGCTGACCTCCCAGAGCCAATGTTTTTCCAGAGGTGCTTAATGGATCATTTTCACCTTTTAAAATCTAAGGACTTGGGGACAGAACTCAGAAATACACATGTTTAATAAATTTCCCAGGTGTATTCAATCTAAAAACCACTGGTATAGAACAGTTTCTCAAAACTGTCTCAGGATTTTAAAAAAAAAAAAAGGTAACCTAGTCACTGGGTATAAAATAGTTTCCCAGAGCTCATCAGGCTGTGAGTCTGATTAGAAAGAAGTGGACTTTGTTTTTGACAAGTATTTCAGGTAATTATAATAATCAAATTTGGCCAGAGTAAGGGAATGAAGAAATACTTCAATATCAACATCTTTATTACAATTTATTAGGTTGAACATCTAATCTGAAAGAATGAAGCTAGCAAATACCAGAGAAGTCATCCTCAGAAGATAAAATACAGTTTAACAAGGAGCCTTCTCTCATTTCTCACATGCAAATATCCTAAATGACAAGAAACAAATTTTTAAAAAATACTTGAGTCCTTAAAACCACTTTGGGAGATTTTCCTCATCCTTTTAAAAATGAGTCATTTCAATTCTTTATATTATGCTTTAAAATTTAGCCTTGTAAGTAACATTTAATGGGTAAAATTGGGGGCAGGTATACTACAAATATAAGTTTAAACTATGGTATTCATCTTTGAAACACTATCCCACATACACATCTATTGTGAAAGTTTGTTTTATCCTATATTAAACACTGGAGGCCCAGGTCTTGCTCATAATTTCAACATATCTTTCTTAAGTCCCTTATTTGTGATTTATTTTTAGCAGCACAAATAAATCATTTGTTCCCTAAAATAAGCAGTGAGGGTGCATGCAGGGGTTTAAATTTGGGATGCATAAATCCAACCACCTGCTCGCCTTCCTTTTGCAAGCTGTTTAACAATAATAAAACTACAAAAAAAATTCTAGCTTCATGTATTGCAATCATTCTGTATGAAATTTTTAAATATTACAAAATACAGCTAGAAATTGAAGGTGGAAAATGGTAAGTGATCAACTTACCATTTCAAGGTTCAACTATTTCAACCTTATCTCCTTGGTAGGCTCATTTTTAGGAATTTTTAAAAATCAGTGATTTTTATAGTCTTAACCTGAGACAGCAAGGCGG